ATTGAAATTAATGAGCTTTTGAAAGTGAAATCTGCAATTTTTTTTATTAGAAGAATCTTAAGCAGAGGAAAGTAGTTATGTTAGACAGTAAACAAGGATTACAACAGTGTAATAACTTTAGTAATTCCTTATCTTTGTTTGTATAATTTAATGTTTTGGAAATTAGCATGATATCCTTAGCTGATAGCCAACAAAACGTTTTGTATAGAAGGGACTGTTTGCTTTCAAGATGTCTCTCCATTTCCTCAAAGCCTTTGTCAATTGTGCGGTATTCCTGTTTTTTAATTTTATGATCTCTTTAATTTCTTACATTTCTTTCTGGCAGGGGAATAATAGTCTCTCAGTTCATACTAATAAGTACACCAAACCCAGATTCATGTAATTCACTCGTGACCTGAGCGCAACTTCTGAACATGAAGATTTCATATAGATATGAAAATTCAGGTGCTATGAAGCAGTTTTCATTTTGTTTCATTTCATTACCTAAATTGTACTTGAGGTAACTTTCAATACATATAAAATAAATAGTATGTGAATATTAATGTGTATGTGCACATGTGTTCATGGCTAGCCACATTTATCTAGATGCAACCATATATATGCAAATTGAGTAACTCGAGCTATCATCTTGCTGTGTTGTGTACTTTGAGAAAAAGCCAAAATGAAGTTGCGGAGACCGCGTGCACTTACTAAGACAGCTGATTTATTTTGAACTCATAGCAGTGTATCTGAGAGTCTGTCTTGTTTCAACATCGCTATATAGAATAAAATTTTATCATTTTATTTTGACAAGCATTTATTTTGACATATCTTGTGACTATGTGTTGCCTCACACTGATTCTCTTGTGTTCAAATGTAGTGTTCTGTCCTGATTTTGTGGTGGTGAAGTTACACATCACACTGGGCCATTCTCTTACACCCCACTGAAAGTGCAGTTGGGCACAGTGGGGTGCACTCTGGAATGCTTCTTTTCCTGTCATAAATCTGTATGAAGACCTGGGAAAGGATTGAGTTTGGGATCTACAGTTAAGTAAAATAGCCCTTTCCGAAATCTAGTTAGCTAACCATTTTGGCCACACTGATGTGCTGCATGTGATCAGTAAGGGCTCAGCAGTAACCTGTTTCTGCTAAAACTTCCTGTGAATGTCAGGACACCTGGTAAGAAAATACTGGAAGATTGATATTTCTAATGTTCAGTTTTCCAGATTTTAGCAAATCACAATCATTGATTGCACTTGATTAACATCACGTTTCAAGAAACAAACTGCTATTCATACATGTTTAAACTTTTTTATTAGACGTTTGACTTATGTGAAGTATCAGCTGCAGAAAATGTTAATAGTTAGAATTTCAGAAGGTGTAATTGCAGATGAAACAGTAAAGGGATCTGTTTATGTCTCTGTTAAAGAAGAATGGAGCATTAGTTAAGCAAAATGTGTCTGGTTGATAATCTGTTTCTAAGTTAAGTATGCCCTAGTTTTATGAAAGAGACATAAAGAAGCTTCCTTCAGGCTGTACTTATTTCTTTTTGATTTCACAGATTACTTCAATTAGATTTTTCTCTTTGAGTCTGTTACTTTAATTACTTTATCAGGCAATATTAAGTTTCAGTCTCTAATTTGGTATGTGTTTTGTGTAAACAGTTCCCACATTATTTTGTCTGGATCAAAATGAATGCAGAACATGGGAGTGTTAGTATTGCTGCCAGCCCTTGTTGCCTCTTCTAGTCAGGGAAGTCTATTAGCACATAAAGGCTTGTGTTGAGAAAGATGTCTTTCTGTGATGGAGACGGGAATGAGTTCTCAACTAATAACAACTAGAGCTGCCTCAAGAACTGAGAATACAAGTACAGCAAAGAGAGTTATTGATGGAGAAGAGTGCCTTGTTGAACTTTCTTTGACATTTTGCACATATGTGACTTGTTACGTTTAAGGGTATGTGCATTTTGTCACTTATCTGATAAAAGTCTCTTACATCTCTTGAAAGTACAAAATATTACTAATGTATTTCAGTATAACATATTTTTCATTGTCTGGTTTTATTTATTGAGATTTTATGTAATTGCAGAGAGGAAATGTTATAGACAAGGAAGAATGTTTATGTTAAGGACATTACTGGCAATTTACAAAAGACTGTTTATTTTATATTGCCAGAGTAATTGTGTCAAGGCACAATCATATTTTACCAAATTTTGTGAGGTAAGTAACAGGCTGAAACATTTCCTAGCTGTGTTAGAACCCCACTGTGCAGGCCTTTTGATCATTGGTCAGAAAAATAAATGCCTGGGATCCTAAGGTTAGTAGACAGTTGTACTGTGATTTATCCAATAAAAACCTTAATGCAATTTAGTTGATGAGAGATTGTAACTTAGCCTTTCCATTAGTTATTAGCTGTGGCTCCTCTGTCAGGTTTTCCTTTTCACTATCAAATTGGTATGGTACACTGGAAAAGTATAAGAAGATATAATTAGTAGATGCATTGAGGGTACCTTATGCTGGAAGTGCATTAGGCTCTTTAAGATTGATTCAGAAGCCTAATGAAAAAATATACAGAAACACAGAAAAGCCAGACATTTCTGAAAGGTACAATGTGTTTCCCAAAATACTTTTACTCAGGCTCACAAAATACAGAAGCATATTTTACTTTTTAGTGAATGTTGTGAATGCAGTAGAACTTTCACTTATTGAATCAGAACTTTGAAGGAAGCACTTAAAGCATAATAGTACCTAGTATAGATAGGTGTATGCCTGTTAGAAATACAAATAACAGTGCAAGCATGAAATTTCTTAGCTTCTTTCATCGTATTGCATCCTGCATTTATTTTAATGTTTGTTTTAAAAGCTGTATCAGTTCATTAATAAGTAATTAACCTTCTTAGATGAGAAGCTTGTTTTGTGTGAGTTTGAAGTTTCACAACTGCATTTAAAATGGACTTTATATTATAGGAGGTAGTTGTGAAAGGGTGTTTGCCAGAAGTGAAGTTCTAGGTAGGTAAAGGGGTCAGAAGGAAAATGAATGATAAAAGTTAATGCAATCTTTTAAGCTCTTAGGCATACCTAACTTAAGTGAATATCAAAGCAGGATTTTGTTTATTTACTTTAAAGGTTGATGTCTGCTAATGCTAGGTGTCTGCTAGTTCTCTCCCCATGGAACTGTGGAGAGTATTTTTTCTAATTCAATATCTGTTTTCATATTCAAAAGTTAGGATCTATAAATTGCCTCCTAAAAGCAAACGAACAAAAACCTGATTCAAATTCCCTTTTTCTGTGTTAGTTTTATAAATATATTTTTGATGAGCATAAATAACTTGCAGGTGATGACCACCAAATCTGCATTTATTATTTTTCTGTGGAAAAGCTATTCTTGACTTGTATATGTTTTATTTCTTCTTATATGTAAAAGGAAATTAATCATATATGACAACTCTGATTTTATGTGTAATTTATTTAAAAAATATGTTGGCAAAGTCTGCACACACAAAAAAATCCATAAAGACACATTTGGTAGCTTGTTTTTCAAGCTTTAAGCTGTTTCAAGAATGAGATTTGTAATTTTAATACAAATTTTGAAGATTATATGAAGTATTGCTGGCTGAGTTGTTCTTTTTTTCATAGAAACCTGCAGTGGGCTTGTTAAATGTCTGAAAATAATAATGTAATGGTTTGTGTTAGACAGTAATTGGGACTAGAAGTTTTTTAAATGACAGATCTTACCAACTTCAGTGATTTAAAGGTTTATTTTTGTTGTGCAGGTTGGTCACGTCTGATAGTTTTTCATGTATGACTCTTGCAAATGATTGTACACTGTTATCTGAGTGAAAAGCCATTAGACTTAAATGAGGGAATATGACAACATTGCTTCAAAAGATTAAAGCATTTCCCAGCTGTGTGTGTGAACAATTTTTTCAGACCCCTATTCTTTTCAACTTTTTTTTTTTTCATTTATTTCGTTAGAAATTCTAAGACCTAACCTTCAGAGAAAATGGACTGCTATAACATGTTCTGAAGCTGTATCTTACTCTATGTATTGTGTGCATTTGCACAATTCTCTTTCTTCATGGAGCAGTGATGCCCATTTACTGCTTTCTGGTTTATGCGTATTAGAATGCATGTTGTTTGGACTAAGTAGTACGATTAAATGTGTGTCTACTCTGTTGTGTGTTCTAAAATAACACAGACAGTAGCTTACCCTCTAGTCACTTACTGCCAAGTCCAATGAAATTCCTGTTTAGCAGTGGCTGTTCTCCTTTCACATGTTTTGACAGCAGTCATCCTTGTTAAGTGCTTTCCACATCAGACTCCAGTAGCTTGGATGTAACCTGATCTATGTTTGGTTTCAATGTGTTGTCTGCTGACCTAGAGAACACTTGCATTAGCTGCATTGATCAATCCACATCACATCTCATCATTTAGGAGACAATTAATACTGCAGTGTAAAGACTCCCCAGAGCATTTTCTTAGAGCTGGATTGCTTTACATAAAAACCACAGGAGTTGTTTCTGAGTGGAGGAAGAATCCACGTAGAAAAGTAGGCATCAAGAAAGCTACGTGGAGGAAACAAGCTTCATTTACAGTGGTCGCTTCCACTTATGTCATTCAAACCCCCTTCTTTGTTAGTATTATTTGGGGAAAAAAAAAAATCATATTTTGAAGATGATGTATTGAAAACCTGTTATAACTCGTCACATAAATATTCTGATTTTTTTTTGCTATATATTGACAAATGTATTGACACAGATGTAGTATACTGCTCAGAATGTAATCAGTTTACCAGTAATCAGTTTTTCGAATTGCTTACAAATCGTCTTTTGTCCAGACTGGATTGGGAAGTTACATGTTTATGGAGTCCACATAAATATGAGTTGCTTAAAACATTTTAAGATACTTACTGAGATACTGCTAGATGTTTTGTTAAGACTGCTTTTGAGCACCATCTTTATGACGTAATTCAAGTGATTTGTGAGATCTGACAACCCCATTTGATCAACTATTTTCTTTCAGGTACTACAGAGCGGGTGTGTCTGATCCAGGGAACAGTTGAAGCACTAAATGCAGTTCATGGCTTCATTGCAGAGAAGATTCGAGAAATGCCTCAAAATGTGGCCAAGACAGAGCCTGTCAGCATCCTACAGCCACAGACCACTGTCAATCCAGACCGCATCAAACAAGTGAGTTTTTGGTTGGGAATAGAGAGTCACATCAACTCCTTAGAATTAGCTTCTGTTTTCAGAAGCTTTAAAATTTTAAGGCAGCAAAGGGTGAACATAATATGTTCCTTCAGAACATGTTATTTTCCTTTTTAGTGATTTACTAAATTACTAGTCCACTTCTTTTTTATGCTTGCATGTCCCAAGTTTCCCAGCAGTTCTTTTAGTGTCTTACAAATTTCAGACTCTAATGTGTTTCTTTCGTAAACTCTTCTCTACTGTATTAGGCAATAATACACATCTAGGTTTTAGTTAAAAAGGATTGCTAAAGTTTAAAATTAAAAATACGAGCCTCTTGTAAATCTTTAGAGAATTAAAAGAATTTTTACTATTTTCATGTATCTTAAATAAAGCAAAAACAAACCCAAAAATGTTAATTGTATTTTAGACCTTTAAATATGTACTTAAAAATTTACATGTGAGAATTTGAAAATATAAGGATAACTTATTTGGGATGTTATCTACTACTCAATTTCTGTTATTTTTGGCATCTTTTTACCTGTTTTATATTGTCTTATTTCAGTATCTATAGGACATGCAAAATATTTTTTCAAGATATCATTGGATTAGTGTTTTTTCTAGTTCACTGTAATTCCCAAAACAATTCTAATTTTAAAGAAATCATTTTCTATAAGGAGAATGTGGAATTCGTCATATAGAATTTTAAATAAATTATTTTCCATTTTATTGAATTAGAAAAAGATGAAGAAGGAAATGAGTGAACATTAGTTTCTCACCTTTTCTACATAGGATAAGTTTGTTTGGTCCTCTACACTAGCTACTGAATCTACTACTAGATTCAGTGTCCTATTAAGTAATTTAGTAACTCTCTACAATTACTTTACTTTCTATGTAAAGCCATACACAGAACGTATAAATGAAGATGTGGTAAATGAACACACTGTTTTAAATGGATGAAACTGTGCCAAGCCACTGTATGTGATTTCTAATTATTACTACTATTTTCTTTACATGTTATACTTTTGCACTAAAAAACAAAACCAAACAAAAAACCCTCTAGGTAATTTATAAGAAAATACTAAAATGAAAAGCCTCAATTTTTAGAATTAGTCTCTCAGTTATTAGACATGAAAATGTTTGTGCCTGAGGTGGAGAGGAGAGGAAGAGAGAGAAACCTGAAGAGCAGATCTGTGCTTTAAATGTCTTTTCATCCTGTAGAATGTTAGATTTTATGCCGTTACCTCTTAACCAAGTGGGAAATGAATTTTATTTATTGCTGTAAAAAGTGCTTTTCCACTTTGCAATGTAAGTGAAACTCTTTTCAAGTCACTACTGAGAAACTAGATTACAGAGCTGCATAGTGATATTCCTTAATACTTCCTGTCTTGTTTCTCAATTTGATGTAGTTTTTCCACACAGAAGCTGAGGAGGAATTAGTTCTAAAGAAAACTACTTTGTGAAGTTGGTGGTGGTGTGGTTAGTTCTCATTGTATTTTTGTTTTCTTTTTCCTTTTTTTTTTTTTTTTTTGTTCTTTTTTGTTTATTTACTTTTATTCATTTGATTCCATGCTTGGAATGTTAACTTCTGGAGTGATGGTTTAGATATTAGAGCTGCTACCACTGAAGTCTAGACACAGGCTGAATACAATATATTTCTTACATGATTCTAGTATGTTTTTTCTGGCTCCACATTTTATAATTTAAACGTATCATCTGTGCACATACAGGTGAACACATGTCTATCATTTGCAGATATGCTTGTTCATATGTTGAACAGTATCAACTACGTAAAGTTAATTGTTTTAGTTTTGTTTTAAGGAAGTTACATCTGTTCATGGTAATTTCATAATATATAAATATTGACAGTGTAAGTCTTATTCTGTTTTGTTGGGTTTTTTTTTTTTGTTTGTTTGTTTTTACACCAAGGTTTGAAATTATTAGCTTAGTTGTTAGATAGAGTTTATAGTGAAGTATACTCTGCTGTCAGAATATCGACTGTCTTAATGAAATAGAAATTACTTCTATTTAAGAAATGTAAAAGGATATTTTATAATGGATAATCATGATCTGGAACTTCTGTGCTGCTATGTTCTTACAACAGACAGGACAAAATTTTAGACACTATCCTGATCATTCTGGTCATTCAAATCACTATTAACATGTGAAAAACAAGCAGTATGAATTACAGCTTCTTCTTTTACACAAACTTTTTATGTGCTCTTACTCTCTTAGAGAATTACCCAAAAACTTTATCATTCAAGTATTCTGAAGTATAATGTTGTGAGCTGAGGAAAGCAGCTTTAGCATATGAGATAAAGATTAGATTTGAAACTATAAATTTTGCCTTCCCTTGGAGGTCTGAGACATATTTCAGTTGATTTTGTCTCAAGCAGATGAGCAAAAAGAAAAAAAACAACAGGACTGTTGTCCCTTATGAATGAAGGTGCTTATAGCTTGAAGCTTTGGAGTATCACCCATGTCTGTATGAGGATATAGCTCTCATTGTGGACTTCTCTACAGATAAGAAGCAAGCAAAGAAAGGAGATGTATGTTTATGATTTCAGTCAAGAATGTTAGTAGGTAAACTGTTTGCTGCCTCTCTCAAGTTTCAGAACTTTCTGTCTTCAGGAAGTCGCAGGTGTGCAATGAGGCTGAGCATGGCTTGGCTTTTATTTATACAAATCAAGTTGCAATCCAAATGTTCCATTCTCTCTAACTTATACTTTTTGTCATTGGAATCCTCACAGGCAAATCTGTCTGATTCAGTTTGAGCCTTCTCGACAATATTTTTTCTAATCTTCTGACCCTGTAGACTTACTAATAAATATCAAGTAGGTCTGTACCCTGAATAGGTCTGATCAATATTTAACTCATTACTGTTTGCATCTATTACTTCTATGAAATATAGATAGTCTCTTCATAGCTGTCAGATATCTGTAGCTTCTAGATACTGTTCAACAATAACCGACTATGTTCGTTTATTTCCTAGAAACTGCTATGAGGATCTAACCTCTCCAATAGAGGAAGTATCATACCAGCTTTGTAGTACTATGTTATAAACCGGGAGAACAGAATGCAGTTTTCATAAAGTACTCAGGAGACTGAGCTGTTTTGGCTTCATAATTAGCTTACAGAGCTTTAAATTTCACCTCTAAACTAATAGCAGCTACTATAAAGAGTGGGAGAAAACTCTGTAGTGTCTTATCACATCACCTTATTCAGAAACCACTGAAGCTTCTTTACAATGACAGAATTTTCCTTCCAGCTATGCAGTTATTTATTAGGTAGAAGGTGTTTTTGCAGCCTACCCGGGAAGCATATGGAACTGCAGTTTGCTATTGCAGAGGTTAGCATTATACGTAAGGAAGAGCATGTGATCTTATAGTGAACTCTGCTATAACGAAGAGTTTATCCTGACTGGCCTTCTGAGATCCCTTCCAACCTGATTGATTCTGTGAAGTCTTTAGTTATCACAACGTCAACAAAGGTTCTTCCTTGAAAATCTGGACTAAAGCTTTCACATATAGAACTTCCAATTAATATTTTTATTTCAACTTTTTCAGTAGACAAGTAACTTCTTGTAGATTGTTTAACTTTTGTTCCATTCATTAATCACATTCCCAGATATTATACTTAAAATGTATAAAATTCAGTATCTGAACTCAGATTTGTACATACTTTTTCTTCCAGTAAAAAGAACTACTTGAATAGGATTACTTCAGAAATTCTGATCAACAACAAAATATATTGGACCACTCACCCGATTTAATGAAAAGCTTATCTTCTAAGTGCTCAAATAGAACCTGACTTTAAGAGTACATATCAGAATATGTTGGTTAAAATAGAGGATTTAATATATATATATATATATATTTATGCTTTGGATATGAGTTGGTCAAATTAGAGCTTTAATAGATTTAAGAGGTTTCTTAAAATGCCTCTCCCATGTGATGAACTTTTCTTCTTTTAGCATCTGCTTCTGAAAGAGTGTATCACCTAGGGCAACCTTATTAACATGCAGACTATAAGAAAACTCCACATTTTTCATTTGGGGATAATAATAAATATAAGCTGTTTTATAAATCACTGTCTCTTAATCTTTTCAATAATTTCTTATAAACCTTTCTCAGGTTTGAATACCAGTGAAGAATGGCATCAATTACCATTCTTAACCATGAATTATATGTTATGCAGGTGTGTTTACAAGTCATCAGGATGAACAAAAGTAATTTGTCCTATACTAGAGAGATAGTCATTTGTATTAGGTCCCATGGCAAAAGTTCAGCATTCCAATTCCTAGTCCCACAAAAAAAACTTATAGTGTTTTATTCCTCATGTGCACTTGACTTCTGCTGCTAGATCACTATTTTATGATATTTTAATTTTGTTTCATTTCACCAGTGTTCAGTGTAATCATCATATGTATAAAAATGCTTTTTAAACTCAATTAATGTTCCATTAATTGTTGATGGTTAGCTCTTGTATGTGCTTCAAAAGAGGAATGAAGAAAGAAGATTGCTTTAGGGGAATGAACAGTAGTATTTAGCATTGCAGAAGTTCTCATTATCTTGAGCTTTCTAAGGCTTTGCAGTTTTGATCGTACTTTTCTAAATCTCAAAGTAGCCCAGAATCAAAAGGTGATTTTTTTTTTTCCTTTAGTTCTCAAAGTTTTGTGATCCACGTTACCTGTGTTTGGTTAAGTACTTGAATTTTCTGGTATTTCTACGTAACACCACATCTTACATTAGTTCTGTGTTACTGTGACAAGTTTTGAGAAAAGAAAGTCCTTCTTTGTCCACCTTACTGTAATCTTCATCGTAAATCACACACTCCATCCAGGAATTGCTCTGATGATCCAAATGGCACCTGCTAGTTTGCTTTATGCTCATTCACCCTTATTGTACAATAAAGGCAAAATATGAGATAAGCTCTCTTTCACATCAGACTTACCACAACTTGTTTCCTGTTTCAAGGAGATACCCTGAAGAGTGTATAAACACACAGAAATTACCTTATACATACCTGTAAGCAAGCATTTTATCTGCATATGCTAACTTACTTTCTGTCCTGTTCTATGCTCTAGATATTCTTTTTCCCAAAAGCAAAACCAAATGCAAAGAGCACGAAATATCAATCTGAATGGTTTTTATTTGGTCCATGTAGAAAAGGTAGCAAGTAATGTTAGATCCCTTAAGTTATCAAAGTAGCCCTTTTACAGTCTTGTTTGAAAATAACTTAGCAGTTCTCAGTAATTTCTTTTTTAAAAATGCATTTTTAAAATGTGTTACTTATACAGTTGTTATCAGATGAAAATCATTTTGTAAAGTTTTAAGTTATAAAAATTCACAGAAGGTGGAAAAGAAAATTTAATGTGTTTAGCAAAAGAAGAAGTCTGAGATAGGCTCCTCTTTGCTGCTATTTACTAGCTTATTAAGTCAGTCTTATGTGTTGTACAGTGTAACAGGAATTTTCAGATCTTTTTTTTCCTTATTCTAGCTGCAGAAGGTATTCAACTATTTTATAATATTCCAAAAAGATACCATCTTATCTTTAAAATGTATTAAAATATTGGCTTAAGCAAATTAATATTCCCATTAAATTAATTTGATTTACCAGCACGAACGTTTATATTCAAGACTGAAATGCACTATTAGATTGGTTATAATAACACTGTAATATGAATAATGTTATGACCAAGATTGTTTAGCAAGCTCTATAGTGGGAAAATAGAAAGTGGTTAACTGTAAATGCACTTTCATCTTCACATTTAAATGTTTGGTTTTTTTTTTTGTCTTATACTTTCATGTCTCTAACCTTATTTCTAAATATTTCATTTTCTGCCTTTTCCTTCTACCCATGTGTGTACTAAATACACTGATAGATATTGAGAATTAAATTAACAGTCTCAGTACAATATTTATCTTTTCTTAGTTTGTGTGTATATATATATACATATATATATATATACACAGATATATGTATATATGTATATATATATATATATATATATATATATATATATAAAAAGATGTGACCTTTGTCATTTATACGTTGATCTTAATTAGACAGTTCACAGAGTTACAGGAAAGAGGTCTCAGTAAGCCTCCTGGAACACCATGCAGTTGTAGTGTACATATTCTGTATTTCTGTGATGCAAATGTGTCTTCATTTTGCAAGCTAAAAGTACAGAGCATCCAAATGTCATGCTGTGGCCATCTTTCTGCACCCTTTAGTATATTGTAAAGCCTGAGAGCATTTTTAATGAGAAAAACAAGGAAGAAGTATTTTCTTGAACTTGGAAAATACGAGAACTCAAATACAACTAAATTTTACTTCAGAATTTTTTATTACTTAAAATCTCTTCTAAAGGTTTATAATAGAGAGGGGGGGAAAAAGTAAAAAACACACAAAGAAAAAGCATTTTCTTCCCTGTAAATATTGTCTTCTATTTGTTTACTCACATAACTTATGCAAAATCTTTAAGGAAGGAAAACAGAACAAAACTGCAAGATTCTTAAAAGTGGTGTTCAGTAGGAATTGTGACTTGCCTGCTACCTGGGAAGATGTGATTTCAGGAGAGCTTCAATTACACTACAAATGTTTCAGTCTCAAAAACTCTGTTATGTGAATTTATACAACTCATTCCCACAAGCCTAATAATTACTAAATAAAAGTGCTTGCCTAATGCAAAAACGCTTGCCAAATTTTTTAAATATATTTTACACTGTAATAAATCAGAATTATTGAGCTCTGTCCAAGTTTTTTTTTTTTTTTTTTTTTTTTTAAGAATTAATTTTGCTTAAAAGCTCTTGCAAGGCAACTGGATGTATTCATATGTTACAAATCAGCCAATGGAAATTCAAAACAATTTCCAAATGATGTGTTTTATTACTTTTTTACTTTTTTCTTTCCTTTTTTTTTTTTTCTCCCAGAAATCTCATTTTGTTATTTCAATATTGAAGGAATTAATAGGTAACTGGTATTTGGTGTTTCTCCAGAATTATAAAGAAGCATCATGAAAAGAGATGAAATTTTACAAAAGTCTGTCAAGTTTTTTTAATATATGTATTTCTAGATACATATGTGTCTCTTACATACATATATCTCTAAATATAAAACAAAGTAATAGAGATTAAACCTCAAACACAAACACCCCAGTTTAGAAAATAATAATACGTACTACTAATACTTATATTTTGTCACCAGTATGTGTACTTGGAAAAAAAATGTCTATGTTGTTACTTTATTCTTGTTTGTTAATATAATTGTTTCACTTTTCAATGCTTTTATCTTATTTTCTGTTGTATTTTAAACACGCTTTTGCTAAAATGAAATAGTGAAATACATCAACTTAATGAATGTTGTAGCTCAGTGTTCACCTGAACTGAATATGAGCACTCTCTTTTCTTTGCTGCCATACTTTTTTATTCTTTAACAAGACTAATATTAAAGGAAAAATAAAATGCCTTCAGTTTCACACAGTCCTAGTATTATCAGCAGTTAGGTCATTATTCAGCGTTGAAGCACTACATGTGTTTTCATCCTGTAGTTAGATGTAGATGTAGAAACACCAGTGAAGAAAGTTCATTTTATCAGCCTATTTTTTCCTTCAATTAGCATAGTGTACCGTAATAACACTGGTTACACTGCTGTATGCCCTAAGGAGCAATGGATGATGATCGCACAAATTGCTATGTGTATGAAATATTTTAGTCAAAGTATATTTTCTGTTTCTTGGTGGTACGTTTTGTTTCTTGCTTTTTTTTGTTGTTGTTGTTGTTTCTTTGTTTGTTTGGGTTTGTTTTTGGTTTTTTTTTTTTCCTGGAGAATTGTAAAGTATATGTATGTGTATATCTATATATGTATTCTAATTCAGGATGAAAGTTTAATATTAAGTTGTAATTAAAACCAAAAATAGGAGAGTTACAGTCTTCCATTCTCTTTCAATTTTTTTTCCTTTTTTTTTTTCCCCCCCTTTCCTTTTTTCATCTCAGTTTGAGCTTAAATGATGAAAATCAGTGCAGATACGCTGTGTGATCTCAAAAATCAAAGTATGCTTCTGTGATTGCAAATTTCTGGCCCTTTGCTATTGTGTAATTTGACACTTCTTTTTCTAAAATAACTAACTGCTTGCAAATGAACCCATGTTCTGTGTACAAAGACATGGGGGAATCCTTTATAATTGTCTTGATTTTCACAAGTATATACTATCTTCTGATCAACAACACTTTTCCAGGCATTTATTTGTAGTACTTCATACATAGCAGTATTTTTTACTTAAGCTTCTTGAGGAAGTCCCAGTTGATGCTGAATCTGTATGTATCTTGTTTTTATTTTTATTGTTTTATATTGTAAACTACAAGTTGGAAACAAAAATAAGGATCTGTTTCTTTATATTTTTTTGTTCCTATTTTGGCTGCTTGACTATGTACAAACTATGAAAAGATGGATCTTCATATTGCTTAACATGCAGACAAAATATTTGTGTGTGCATATGTACAAGCCCTTATTTTTCTAATACACATAACTTTATGCATTCACAGTGTTCCAGCTTTTCATATGCATTGAGTTTTAGTGAAAAATTATGTATACCTATTTTATGAGGGACTGTCGATGATTGTAAGTAACAGAACTGCTGAAAATGTGAAATTTTGCTTCTATTTCTCAATAGTTTTGGTTAGTGATTGTTTGTCCATATGATGCATTGTGTTGTACAGCATTTTAACATTTTACTTCCTAAAGTAAAAATAGTGTAATTTGGAATATTTTCTATCATTTATATATTATAAAAATGTCAAAAATACATGCTTTGAACAAGTACTGTATGTTATATTTTGGAAGTGGGAATTTGAAGTTTTCATAACATTTATTAAAAGTAAAGAGTTCCTCTGTCAGGATCTAATACATTAAAAAGAGATACTTGTATAAAGTTTTAAGCAGAGCAGTGCTTTTTTGGTATGTTGAAGAATTAATGTTAAGCGTATGTATATTATTTAGAAAACATTATCAATAAATATGACTCCTAATTCTTTTTTGTGTTTATTTTGAACGCAGGCTGATGATACGTTATTAACTTTTGCTCAATTAAAGGATCGTTAACACTAATGATAAATATATTGTAGCAATTTGTTGTGAAGGTATTAGTTGCATGCTCATCCATCATGAGATTGTTGTTTACATTTTTTCACACGCCTCTCAATTAAAAATGATCAATTAATACTTTAGTAATTACTACATTGCTGAAAGCTCGTAGCTTCAGTGTAATTGTTTTAAGGTATGGAACACAGTTTGCTGGCTATAGTCCGTGCAATAGAATGGTGCGTTATAAGGTGCCAAATTAAAATTTCAGTACTTTCTTTCAAACACAGGCCCTGTTTGCTTGTAGGCTGATAATTGTTTTTAGTGTGCTCATTGAACTTGCTGGAATTTGTGTTTTCTGGTTTTCATTTTCCTTAAGAGAAAGAGAGAGGAAAGAATATATTCCTCATGTGGCTGGCATATTTTTCAGTATTTATGTGAGTTCACCATCTTGATTTCAAGTCATGAATTTCTTTTTACATGCATAAGCATGCATATTTACGTGCATTATTTATCCAATTGACTTTAAATTCCATTAAGTTCCAATGAGTAGGAGAAAGATTTTGTCTTAGGCATTTTTTATTCATTTTAATTTTGTAGTTATGTTACTTTTGTTGGTTTATTTATTTTTTAACTGTTCAGTCTAAGGCTTGTAAAGGTTGATTTGCTCCTGAACTGCTTTGTTCCCAGACATTGCCATCTTCCCCAACTACCACCAAGTCCTCTCCATCTGATCCCATGACCACCTCCAGAGCCAATCAGGTACAGTATCATCCTACCATCTACACCATACTTTTCACGGGTGACAGCTTGCAAACTGGAGAAAAAGATATGGTGGGTTAAGGATTTATTCGTTCATTCACATGTGTACACCCATAACCATAGATATCTAACTCTTATTAGAATTTCGTAAATTGAATGGAAATCTTTTTTTTTCTTTTGTTTTGTCTTCTTTAAGATCTCAGATAAAAACAATTTTTTTTTTTTTTATAAATCTTGTAAAATAGTATTATTTTTAAAATTTCGTTAATAAATAGTAAGGATGCATACTGGTATTTCTGTAGACAGAGTAAGTCTTGGTATGTTTATGTATATATGCACACACGTATTTACGTCCTGGATAAATTACAGTGGAATTACCCATAAACCATACTTAATTGGATGTATATCAGCCTGGCAGTAGATTTTAGATTTTATTTACTTACTGATTTCAAGAATTTTCAAATATGTTTGTGGACAGTAACATAAGGACATTGTTTAAGTATGTTTAATTATTGTTGTGTGTAATAAAAGATCTTAAGTGAAAATATCTTGACTTAGAATGAAGTAAAATTAAGTCACTTTAAAACATCTCAAATACATCTAATTAATTTTAATTCACATCTAGTTTTTAAAAAGTGTAAACTGTAATACTAGTGCAATTTTAATTACACTCCTTTATATCTCTTTTAACCGCGGAAAAAACAACAGCCACGTCTGCTTCATTATGTCCACAAATCATCATGGTTGTGTATCTTCCTTTTTTATGAAAATTGTTAAAGTTGCTTCATACTATTCTATTTAGAACTGATTCATGCTTAATAAATATCTTATTCAGTTTTTTTTAATGTGCTGTTAAGTTTAACATATTTGGTGTTCAAATAATATTCAATTAATGCTAACAGTTTTTTAAACACAGCCTCCGTGTAAGTTAGCTGAGTGCTTCTATCAGACCTTGCACAAATTAGTTTTCCAGAAAAATTTTCTTCAAAACAAGTTATTTCCCTCTTGAAGTTAACTAATTATTGATTCTCTGATATTTTATGAACTGTTTAGAACTTTTTGTCTGTATGAATAATTTTACATATAACAGGACAAGGCATATTAAAGCAATATGTCATATTTTTGATCAACATGTATGCAGCTGTTGAAAGAGACATCTAATGCAGAGAGTAATGAAATTTAGAGAGAAACAATACAGATAGAAGAATTATAAGAACACTGTATGTTATGATATCCTTCACTTCAATATGAAAGCTTTCTTCATCAGACTGCTTCCATTCCAGCGATAGTTGTTTGGCTCCATCATCTTTAACTGACAAATATAAAATCTTTGCCAACAACTATGGGTTATTTTATGAACAGTCTACTCTGTTCAGTCTTTATTCTCTCCCTCTTAATGTTATTGTTTTGTGTATTTTAATTAGAAGGTTTTGAAAACGTTGAACAAACACATCTTTTTAAAAAGTGTTCTTTCTATTATTTTGCTCTTTTACCTTTTTTTTTTAAATATGACTCTACCCTGATGATCATTACTGAGAGAATTAAATAATATGTTCTTCTATTTAACAGAAAATACTGTTTGGCTTTTTTATTAGTATCAGAGAGGTATCTACTTTACATCTGTTCTATGAATTTTGAATAATCAAATCTACTGTGTATCATATTAAACTTAAATGTCTTTTAATAGCTAAAAAATATCTTTACCAAAAATTGTTCTATGAGAATGTTATCAAGTGATACAGCTGGAATGTCCAAACTAAGAGAAAAGTATATGCTTTGTATAGTGCCTGTATCCCACCTTACATCTGCTAATGCATTTTATCCCTGACTCATATTCAGTTCCATTTTCATAGAAATAACCAAGACCTCTTTTGAGCTGCATTAAAATTGTATAAATGAAAAAGAGTAATACATTCTTTAAGTGGCTTTTGGAAATGCATTTATCATTAACCCTAGAAATCTTTACTGGTTTTTAATTATTTTATCCCAGCTTTCAAGCTTTCATTTCCTAGTGGTTTCTAACCATTTCAGCAGCAAGCACAAAGCACATGATAAGGCAATTAAGGCTTTTCTGTTCATGCTTGTGATAAGTGATGTAGCTGGCAATTGTTCCTAGACTGTAGTAGTGATTAGTATTCAGCACCAGTATGTCACAAGTATCTGCACTGCGGCTGTGACATGAAAATAGGTTCCAACACGGTAATCTAAAACCTGTCAGTAGTCAAGTAAGTAACCAGTAGGAGACTAAGAGAGAACAAAACAAATTTGTTTTGATCTATGGCTAGGTATGATGATTCTTAATAGAAAATAACTGCTTGGGTGTGGATTTTCTAATAAATTGTTATATAAAGACAATATGAAAGAGCTTATTTAACTGAATCGAAGTCAGGGAATTTAGTGTTAAGGTGGAAGATAAATTCACAGCACAGCTCTGTGTGTGTAATAGCATATCAGACTTAAGATCATTCAATTTTCTATAATATTTCAATCATGACAAGACCATATTTTATATTAAAAATTAACAAAGGTGATTAAGCAACATTTTACTAAGGCTTAGTGCTGGTAGAAATTGTTTGCTGTTAGCGTAAGATTTTAACTGAGTTGGAGCACTCCCTATGAGTCATTGCATTTAGAGACTTGTTGAGGATGCATGTAGATGAGCTTACATAATGATGTGATCCTTCTCACTGTACAGCAGTTGTTTTCTTCTGACAGGGTTTGCATAGAGAACAGAGCAATTCCTACGCAAGTATTTACCACAAGAGAAGACAGTTCTGTCAGGAGAAGTCAGAGGACACTAGGCAGGAAATCCAGCTTATATTACATCTTCCTTTTAATTACTTGATTTGCCTCTATTTGGATAAATTCATAACTCCCTTTTAGGGCAATTTCAATTTTTTTTTCAATTTTTGTTTTCTTCTTTTTACTTTAAAAAATTCAGTGATCATAAAACTGCATGTTGTATCATCCTCAAGAGGATGGTATTCTCTATATTAGCCATTTATACTGGAATAAAACTCTCTCTTCAGATCTGTCATGTTGTGCTATGCTGAATTCCCATTAGTACAGCAGAAACCTGTGCATGGAGAATATTTTTCTTTGGTTTTGTTCCAGGAAAATATGTATCTGTCAATATTATTGTTGCAAAGTCTAATTTATTTTTTCAGTACTTTCTTGGACATTTGTCCACAATATAAAGTAATGCATTGGAAACTCTCAGTAAGGAAGAACAATTGATGAAATAGAATTAAGAATACCCAGAATGCATTTCAAATAGAGGGTTGTGTTTTCTTTCTCCTCTGTACATGTCACTGAAAAGAACAACTTGAATCTTTTTGTGTACTTATAGACCAAGACCTTCAGCATTACCCTCTCATGACAGCCTTTTTTTTATAAGAAAACATTCATGTGTGACTACGTGAAACTGTTCTTCTAGCACCCCTGAAATTGGCAGAATATAGCATTACTTTTGTTTACCTGAAGGAAGAAATCAATTTTACTTTTCCACAATACACTTCAGATGGGAATTTCCTTTCATAATTGGTAAATAGTACCGTGAACGTCATGCTTGCTTTTCCTTCTTTGCTACCTCAGAAAGGTGCAGATGACAAAAATTATTTTAAATGAAAATAGGCGTTTCTTTAATAAAAGTGTTTACATATTGTTTTACTTATTTTAGAGGTAAATGCAAATGATCTGAGGCTAAGTTTTGTATGTATTTCATGTACACTTGTAAGTGCAATTGCGAACCCTTATGTGGTTTCTTCTTCAGTCCTCCCCTTTTCCATGAGATTGATACAGCTTAACTGCTGGCTGTCAAAAAGTAAAAGGCCAAAACTGATGTTAGTACTTAAAGATAAGAGAGGGATGGGATATTCTCTCCTTCCCTTACAGCTTAGACCAACTTAAACTCACTAATGTGCTTATTCCAGAATTTGTTTCACGAACTTACTATAAACTTTTTAATTTTTTTAATGCACTATTTTGTCTCTGGCTGTTTACATATTTTTAAATTGTAATCTATATTTTTCATCTGGAACTATTTTATCATTTTGTACATTGCAAAGACTTATTCAAGATTTATAATTTTTTTTGGAGTATATCTATTTCATCTGCTGCCAGCAGTATCTGTGATAAAAAATACTTCTAAATCTTTGTTCAGTATTGGACTGAGCAAGTGCAGGACACATGGCTTTTAAAGGATTTATAAATTCATCTCGTTTAATATCTGTTTTGTTGTAGCAGATGAAGAAGAAATAAGAAAGAAAACATTTTTAATCAAGGACATGGACTTTGAACAATAGTATAAAATATTTATACAAAACTAAAACTCTCAATGTGTTAATCTTGAAATGCAAATAGATAATTTTAAGTATGATTTCAGGATACTAGCTAGCTCTCATAGACCATCTGGATGCTATCTCTATTTACTTATGATAATTTGATGTGAAAGTTATCCAAGGTACATTGTCTCTGATATTTTTACTTGAATATTTATCTAATCATTCTAATCCTTTTATTTTGATGTCGTTTCTTACAGTGATATTGAAAACATCTGTTTCATTTTTAGGTCTCAGAGTTTGACTGATGCTGGATGTATCATTTGATTTTCCAGACCTCAGTACCACGTATTTAAAAGCACAGTTAATAAGAAGTTATTTAGCATTTTTATGAAAGGTGCTGTACCGAGCTGTCCATAGCGTAACAGGGTTGTCAAAAATAAGTTCTATGGTAGTTCACAGTGAGAAAATACAAATAGTAATTTAACTATTTTCAATCTGTGGATTGATCATTGATAAGTATAATCATTTTATTTACATGGAATCTGGTTTCCACTCACGAAAGTAATATACTTTTTGGAAGAGATGTCATCTAATAGGGAGTGTTTTATAGGAGCACATCATGGAAGAATTTAGTGCACTGGATTCTAAAGTTTAGAAATTCATTGAAAAACACAAATATCATGAATAATGAACATATTGTTCTGATTATGGTACCAG